GTGTTCATCTGGTTGTTCAAAACATGCAATAAAAATGTCAAGGTTAAAAACACTCCAATGTGCAGCTATTTGAAAAAAGGAGCATTAGAGGAGCCATCTTTCAAATAATAGTTGTGCTCTCTCGAAGGTGGATGTAGCATAATGTTGTCAACCACTGCAAAACCTCTTGGAGGTAGACGGAGAGATTAAATGGTTGAATTTACAAAGCGTGTAATGGACAGAGACTGTATAGATTAAGCCTGATTTAACCCCCAACCCATCCACCTCAACAAATTTGCCAATCGGAACAAAATTATGCCAGATCGGCTGTGGTTTGATGTTCAGTTTGATGTTGTTGTTTGATGTTCTTTGAACTGCAATGTCCCTGGTTCAAGTCCGCCTGGGGACTTTTGTTGCCCATCATTCTTGCTTCATTTCCTGTCATCTCCCGTCTGCCAAAATCTCTAATAAAAGGATAAAAATGCCCGAAAATTAAAGTTTTGGTCGGTTGGGGAGATAATGACAATTAAGTAACAGTAAATAACTGAATGCTGATGCTTTGTGACAGCAGCAACTGGCCATTGGAAAGTCACCCTCTATCTCAAGCACCAATATCACCACCACTACAAAAGGTTTTACCACTTTAGAAGACCCTACACAATGGCCAAGTGATTTAGGCCATACTGAACAATCACAATAGTAACAAGTGGACCTATACAGTATAAAGTTTCCCCCCAGAATTAAATGAAAAAAGAAAAGAAAAGTACATTGCCAAAGGAAAACTACGAAATGGACATGATAAAAAAGGGATAAGAAAGTAAACATTTTGTATGCAGCACAATAGTGATTGGCATAATATGTCATCTAGCTAAAAAGAACCATGTGTTGAGGGGGCATACAAATGTTGTATATGATCAACATACATAGAGGGTGAACTCATGACATGGAGTTTTGTACTGTGCACTGTAATCTAGTATATGTGTATCAGATCAACCACATCAGCAAGATCCTGCAGAGCCCCAGAAAAACAAAAAAGAGAAACAAGCACAGTGGGTATATCTGGACAATTTCAGGGAAAGTGGACCTGCTGCCTCTGAAATTGCTGCTACGGAGATAGCCGAAAAACTAGAAATTGACAGGACATTTCCTAAAATAAGACAACCCAGAAAACAACCCGGCAGTTCCGAGGGCAGACAAGAAACGCAATTCACCCCGGATAAGCAACTGAGAGTTTTTTTTTCAGCATCTAGTGGACGCAGCCCTCAATGGCTTATATGACAAATGATGGCAGTGGTAAACTTTTAGACAACTGTGAGAAACTGTAGAGAACACTATTCAACATGGATTCCTAAAATTTGATTCTGGAGGTCATGGCTGTGGTCAATGCTTTTCCTGATCATGTATATTCGTCCCCAAGAGAGATGCTTGATTACATTTACATAGAACTGCTTCTGGATCACTATGGAAACCTCAACATTTCCCTTAATCTGTTTTTAACTCCTCCAGTCACTGTTTTCTCTGGAGAGAACACTCATCAAAACATCTCAGGACAATCATGTCCCAGAGGACACATTCAGGACTGATTTTACAATTGCTGGTTCCTTTGCACATTGCCCAGAGCTGATGCTTAAACGCTGTTGATGAGCACTGGCCTTACAATGTGGGTTTAGTTCCCTAAGAACAATATACAATTTTAAGATATACATTTTGTACTATTACATTTTCCTAATGTGAACGTTGGCTCTTTTCTAACACAATTTTCAAATATAATCAATTATTATAGTAGCAGTTATAGTAGCAGTATTTGAACTAGCCAAAACCGTGCTTTAGGTGTTGATGAGCACTGGCACATAATAGGGGTTATTTACAATGTGACAACATTGAAATTATTTTGTTATTTATTTAGGTTTTTAGCTCAGGTTTTAATTATTCTTTATTTTTATATTTTAAAAGTTGTACTGATTTAGGATTTAAAATAAAAAAATGTTGTCAGATTATCTATATAATCTGACAAAATCCAACAAAAGATCCAAAAGGTCAAACAGCCCTGGTCAAACAGCGTTTCTTTGCAATTTATGTTTATATTATATATATTACATTAAGTGGTTATTCTAGGCAAAAATTCCCAGGGGACCTTTCCAACCAGCGTTCATCACCATTATGTTATAACATAATGGTGATGAACGCTGATTGGAAAGAATAACCACTTAATATAATATAGATATTATTAATAATATATATAATATATATATTATATAAACATAAATTGCAAAGAAACGCTGTTTGACCAGGGCTCAAAACATCATCAGTGACCCCTCCCAC